GCCGACTATTTGTTCGTGTGTCACTTGAGGTGTTTCGGTTTTGGGTTTGGATTCTTCCGATCCCATTTTTAAACTCGTTTCTTTCTTGAACTTAGAACTCAGCACTTTGACTTTTCTTTGAACTTAGAACTCAGTAGTTAGACACTTTTTCCAGTTCGGTTTGTTCTGTTCTTGATAAAATTATTCACAAGTCACAAGTTCTTCCTACTGTCACGGTCTGTCATGTGGCATACGGACTTCGGATTATTCAAGATGCTTCTCGGTTGACATGTACCAATAGACTCTTTATTCAATTTGCAGGTTCGGATGAATTTTGGCAGTTTCTATCTATGTTAAAACAGTGGGATAAGGAAATGGAAATGTTTCCTTTATTATGGTGATTTATGAACAGATCTGTGTGATAATTTGAGATGTATCATATTACAACATCGTAACACGACATAACTAATGATGTTTTGACTTTACAAAATTTCATCGCTCAAATTATCATTAATTGCAATAAGGTACGCTGGGTTTCTGAAAGAAGCATACGAAATTATTGGAAGCTATTTCCTTACACGATGGATTTTAGTTCCCGTCGACAAAGGTTTGCATTTGATCATTTTGAACAACTACGGGCTCGAAACGATTTCTGCGTTTCGACTTTATCCCTTGACTAGGTGGTTTTTCTCTATTCGAGTTATGATAGTTATATTGATTGGCTTGGGTTTTAGACATTGCGACTATTATTTCGTCATAAAATTTGTCACGAACTTGTAACAGTCGTTGATTATCCAACGGTCTTTCTTCACCATCTAAAATCCCTAGGAATGCTTCCCGGGGGTTCATATTGATAGAAGAATGTATGGCGTTATTGTATAACATGCATCATGATAACAGAAACATTTCTTTTAGAGAGAGATTTTCGTATTTATGCCTGTTGCAACTAAGTAGTTCAACCAACGGTGAATGAAAGCGTTCAACTATGCCATTGGTTTCACTACTATTTACTGGTGTGAAGTTGAGCTTATCATCGAGCATAACCCCCAAGAATGTTAGAGAGCAGACCTAATTGTGCTCTCGCCTACTCTAAACGTCGCATGCTGCACCGACATGCGATTGTTGACTACGACCACCTCCGTCTTGTGATGGGCAAGCTCCAGTTTCCTGGATCTCATCCATTCCTCCACAAGCTTAACGGAGTGGGCCGCTGTCAGCTTTACCTCTTCGAGGGATTCCCCGTAGACTACCAGCGTGACATCGTCGGCAAAACCAACGATTTTCACGCCTACTGGGAATCTTATCCTCAACACTCCGTCGTACATGACGTTCCATAACACCGGGCCCAGAATGGAGCCTTGTGGCACTCCTGCGGTGACCCTAACGCATTTTTCACCATCTTCTGTGTCGTACTTCAACACACGATTCTGGAAGTAGCTTTCCAGAATCTTGTACAGCCCTCCGGGGATTCGGAGTTGGTGTAGCGAGCGGGTTATCGCCCCCCAGCACGCGCTGTTGAATGCATTCTTCACGTTCACGTCTCCTAGCCGCTCGAAGAGCGACGCGGCGTTCCTCTCGAGATTCGGCCGTACGAGCCCGTTGCATCCTCCTCGCGTGGACGCCCTGAGGATAGCAATCGACTCGCTCCACCAGTACACCGGTCTATGGCCATGCCTGGGATAGGCTCTCCTAGTCATGGTTGTATCGCACGCCTTTGTCAGCGACGCTATCAGTTCTTCCCCCGTCAGATCAAGGGTTATTCGCTTCCGCCTCTGTGCTTCGCTGAAGACCTCTTCATCGAAGAACGACGTCCGCCAGCCTCGAGCGCAGGAGGGACTCCCTCCTGCCACTCGCCTCTCACCTTGCCCCACACTGTAGCGAATCGCCTGATGGTCGCTCTTCGACCCTCCAGTGTAGGTTGCCCTCCAAACACGGGCTGCAGTACTTCACATCAAAGACGGATTCTGCACCGTTCCTTCTGTAGGTACTGATCGAACCGGTGATTTGATAGTACACCGTCCAGTTTGGCCACCGCCCATGTGAACTGGAATTCGAAGGTAATAACACTCTGACTTGCGATTGTAGAATAATTGTATATTTCAGTTTCAGTTAGTTTTATTAATTAACCAATTGCGCAGATAGAATTCAATATTATTTTATGCTGAATCTTTCCCAAGTCCTATGTTGATATGTTGCTTCCTGTTGTTTACGAATTGACCCGATACCATGTGGCAAAAGTCACACGCAATCGATTATGCTTATTGCAAGTATGCTAAGCTATGCAAACAGTCATTTCATTCATTGCACCGTCTGCGTGCGCTTGACCTAGTAAACATGTTTATTGCATTTGGGATTTCTTAGGAATGTTTATTTGAGACCCGGTGGAAATGCTTGGAATACATTAATGTCATTTTGATTTACAAGTTGGTTTTTCGTTTATGTTGCGCATCGACACTTTTAACGGAAATGATTGCGTCTTAATCAAACTGTTTTTCAATTGGTTTGCGCATCCACCACACATGCGTTAAAGTCGCCCGCAATGACCACCGGTCTTAGGCCGACAAGTACCGCAGTGAGTCTGTCCACCATCTGCGAGAACTGCTCGATGGACCACCTGGGCGGAGCATAACAGCTACTCAGATATACTCCGTTGACCCTGGCGATCACGAATCCCTCGCTCGAGTTGGACGAGACCACCTCCTGAACGGGGAAGCTCCTCATCGTGCATATGGCCGCCATCCCCAACGCGTCCGTGACCCAATTCCCGTTGCCGGATGGAACCCGGAACGGGTCGAAGATGATTGCGACATCCACTCCCCATTCCACTGCCGATTGCCACAGCAGTTGCTGGGCAGCCGCGCAATGGTTCAGGTTCAACTGCGCTACCTCGAACATGGCTGAGCATTGCTCTTGACCGGGGCAGCATTGCACTTCGGCGGCTTTTGGCAACTTTGCGCCTTATGGCCCTCCGAACCACATCGTCTGCACAGCTTGCTTCTATCGGTGTTCTTGCAGTCACGAGCCAGATGGCCCTGACCGAAGCACCTGAAGCAAGCCGTAACCGGTTGGGGAATGCTCACGGGGCAAACCGACCAGCCCACTCGTACCCTCCCTGTGACTGCCGCCTTTCTGGCATCAGCTGCCGGGAGCTTGACGGTAGCCACCTGGGTGGAGAACAGTCCCTTCCTCAGGGTAACCGCTATTGGTGGTACCTCGATTTGACACTGCTCCCTGAGTGCCTTGACTAGTTCGATCGCCTCTGTCACTTCGTCCAAGTCCATTACCTGGATGGTAATTGTCGAGCCTAGCGGTCCCTGGTCTTTAGCGCCACGCTTAAGCACCAGGAACATCTCGCCAGTACGAGTGCGCCTGATGCTCCTCACGTTGTTGCCAATCTCCGCAAGATGCTGGTCCGCTCTCATCTTCCTCAAAACTTCTGCGTACTTCAACGCTTCCGTCTTGATGATGAGAGCCTCGCCCATCGTCTTGTGCTTGTTCCGGGCAGTGCTGCTCTTAGGGGCAGTTTTTTCCGGAGGTTTCGGGGGAATGCCCTTGTTACCACCCTGTTTGGAACCACCACTTTTCTCAATCGCTCTAGTACCTATGTTGGGCCATTTCTGCGGCTCCCTATTTTGGGCCATTTCTGCGGCTCGTCCGCTGCTGCACTGGACTGTTCGACCACTGCCACACACTCTACCTGGACAGAGACGTTCCGTCTCTTAGGGCGTGCCGCACACTTTACTGGCGAGGGCCGGTCGCGCTTCTGCCCTTGCGTCACGGCAAAGTGGAGGGCCTCGCTGGCCATCGTACTGTTGCCTGCGAAGTTGAAGGCGTCCGCCTGGATATACTTCTGCTCCCTCTTCTCCGCCCTCTCGGCGAATTCCAGTCTCTTCTTGAGCCGCTCGTGGTCGTCCGGGCCTCGTTCACAGTTGCGCGGAGCTGTCGCAAGGCCTGCTTGAGGTCCTTCACGATGTTGTTCCGCGTGCTCGTGAACTCGATGATAGCATCGAGCTGACCCGCGATAGCCAGCATCCTAGGGAGGACCCCAAAGCCACTCATGACTTTTATTAACCTGGGCCCATCCCGAGGGGGACGACTCTATCTACGATGCAAAAAAGATTGTGTTTTGCTGTGGCTAGCTGCGCACACGCTGAGTAGATAGAAAGAAGATTGATGACGATTCTGAAGATTTCCTGCAAAAAATTGATGAGCGATGCAAGTAGATGCGACAAATGAAAGAAGATTGTTCGAAGATTGATTCGCTAGTGTGAGATTTGTTGACCATCTAAACTTGAGATTTAGATGTGTCGCCCCCCTCGGCCCATCCATAGGTTGTTCCTCTGGCTGTCCACCGGTCCCGTCGCTTAGCTCTGCGTCTTGCAGAGGTTTCGGCCGCTTGGTGTCCTTGTTCGGATCACTGGGTGGGGGAGACCTCGTAAGACCACCCTTCGCGAATGGGTTCGCGGTTGCCTCCTTGGCGACTTGACCTCTAGTTTGGGTTTTTAGCTGATTTTGATGATTTTCCATCATCCTGACTATTGCCCCCCCCCCCCCCCTTAGACCGCTATCCTAACCGTGCAACTGGAATAGTCGCTGTTTGATCCCCATGGGTGCCTCTGCAAGCAGTGAGGTCCATGGCGAGGGTTGACATAGGCCTTCATGGGGCGCTATGTTCAGAGCCGGATCGCGTAAGACGGGAATAACTCAACCGACCCTATTCCCACCGCAATCTCCCAACTGGGTGGCACGGAAGGAACGTATTCTAAGGCCTGCCAGGGTTTTATGGGATGCAGACGGACAAGGCATTAGCTCAAACGTCGTTTCGGTCGGTTCCACCCGACGGTAATAAGAGAATGAAATACTTTGGCCGCAAACCCGTAGCGTGGTTTGTATAAACGTTTCCGCTCGACTTCCTACATTAAGGCCAGTGTGTCAGTACACATACTTGCGATCTTACTAACATCGATCGCAAGGTGCCGTCTGGCACATCCCCTCGTTTGTTGTTCGTTTAGCCGACTGGATCAGTACCGCAGCACTGGTGGTCCATCGTTTCCAGGGTGCTCTTGGAGCTTGGATATGGTTGCGTCGTCTAATTTGCCTTTTACGATGGCAATAATTAGGCGGTTGGCAACGCAATCTAGTGTTTGATCCCGCTCACCTTGGATTTGGTGAGCGGCGTGGACTGCGGTGTCTACTGCATCGATCGGAGCCAGAATCAACTTGGCATTGGGACTCATGATTTTCTTCACCTTGAGCAGCTTAGAAAAGTAGCCTTCAAAGGCTATCCTGCGCTTGTAGAAGCGCGTTTCGAGCTTTTGCCAAGCTTCGGCAAAGCTCATTCCCGAGTTTTCGAGTGCCTCAATTGAATTTTTGGCAGGTTCGAATTTCTCTAGGCATTTTCCTAAAAATGCGAATTTATCCGCATCTTCATTAAGAGCGGATATCCTCTTCTCGAAGCGGCTCTTGAACGAGAGCCACTCCGTGAGCGAACCGTTGAATCTTGGGAGCTCGATCCGCGGTAAGTGGTCGGATCGCCAAATATCCGCCATATCTGTAGCTGATTTGTGAAAATTTAAATTAATAACAGAAAATGTATTTATTTCCTATTTCGCTTACCACTTTTGTGTCTCAGCTGCAGCAACACACTGAACTGTATTGGTTCCACTAGGATACATTCTTTAATTTCACCAACTGTGATTGATTAGTGGAAACAGACTTATGAACGAAGTCGTTTTCCTTATTTAATCAATGATGGAATCATTTGACAGATAGGAATCAACATCATCGTATCCTGGCGGTATGCTTTCAGGCGGAATGGTCAAGTGTGAGTGCAATCATACTGTCTGATGACGTCAGCGGATATATGGAGTAGTTCGTTTTATCGCACTCACAGTCAATTTTTCGAAGATCTCTGCTGAAGATATAACACTAATTTCAAGCTATTCTACTGAAATTCTAGAATCAATGGGAACTCCTACAATATTCCTGGAAATAGTTCCGAGAATTGAAACTTTCATCGTATGCGGCTTTCTCTAAAATCTTGTCTCTTGGTTTTCAACGTCTTTTGTAAATGTCCCTCAAAGGTTTCAGCAGGTTGTGGTTATCCTGCGGTTGCCGTTGTCTAGAAATAAAACGATGATCGTGATCTCGAAATACTCATCCGCTCAGTCAGCTGTTTGCCAGCTTCTTTGCGCAGTGGCTCGATTTTGTCACGGTCATCATGTGCTTTTGATCTTTTTGGATGTCAGTCTCTTGAAATGGCTTTCGAAGATAGTAACGATCTGACTTTTGATTGTAGAATCTTCGTATGTTTCAATTTTAGTTAGTTTGTTATCATTCTCTAATTGTGCAGTTCAAATTCAATATTAGCTTTATGCTGAATCGTGTTCTAACTTTTCCACTGTCCTATGTTGCTATTTTCATTCGACAACTTCCTGTTATTTCTTTTTCCTATGAATGTTTATCTGAGACCCGATGATTTGAATGATTTTGATTTGCATTTCTATGATTTGTAACGTGCCAGTGCGGTGTTACTCCCAGCACTGATGAGTCCCCCGTCTCCAAGTCTGAGGGTCGGCACACGCTCGTGATAATTCCGCGAACCAAGAAAACAGTCAAATTTCACTTAAGACAAACTCCCACTTTATTCGCTTTGATGACACTCACTTCACGGACGGTCTCCCACTTTCTTAGATGTCTACTCCTACCTTGTGCTAGCACTACTCTTCTTTTGTCTTCGGGGCCCCTTCACCTGCCACTGCCGTCGGCGTCGTTCCTCTCCTTCCTCTGGTACCGCATCACCTTCTTGGGCCAGGGGTGGACGCCTCTACCTGCCCCGTACGCCCCTCGAGTATGGTGACGGACTCGAGGTTTCAACGAACCACAAGGGTAAGTTGACTTGCCTGGATTGGTGGCGCACACTGTAGCTGAGGAATCCGATTCTCGAACTGCGATTCGGACACACTACCGGCGATTGGCGTGGTCGATTACGCCACCCCTATGGACGTCCATTCATGACTGCACACAGCGTGCTCTGGTGGTGGCTAGTGGCATTGCTCTACAGTTTATAGGGAAGTGTCTCCTACTGGTTGCGTTCGTGGGGATTCTGGAACGTTTCACCTTTTACGAACATTTAAACTTTTTCTTGGAATTTAATAACTAAATATACGACAACTACACGCGATTAATCTCACCAATCTTGGATGCAACACTTACAGATTTGGTTTTTCATTTTATGTTGCACATCAACGTTATTAACGGAAATGATTGCGTCTTAGTGAAACCTGATTTGAATTGTTTTGCGCATCCACCACACTCCTAAGGCTGTTCTAACGGCTTGAACCGTCCTGTCACGGTCGCCATGTAATAGCTTTAATTTTTTTTTGGCTGTTTATCTCGCTTATAAACTTTCTTGATGGTGGCACCGGACACCTTTAATATAATTACCACGGTTGGGTAACGGGCGTGCATTTCTTACCTTACATACTACTTTCGTAACGTGTTAAATGCTATTTGACATTTTGTAAATGATGAAATTTCGGTATACCATAGTAGTTATTTACATTTACTAATTTTACAGGAAAGTACAATTCACTTCACACTTCACTAGTCAACTGCAACTGAATTAAACTAAAACCTAATTAAAACTGGCTACCACCTGCGTTCTCCAGATGGTTTTGGTTCCTCGGTCCTGTCGTGTCAGCAAAGTCCTCCGGGGATGGTAACTGGTCGTTCGGCAACTGCTGTATCGATGATTGCTGATCACATCAATTTACTCATCGGTTGGTTGGTCAACGTCGGTAGAGCATAGGTCTTAGTTTGAACCGCCTCGGTTCAGCCTCTGCCATGATCGCTATGTGAATATGCAGCTGCCCCAAATTATCGATAGAGCTTGTTTCTGTCTCTGCTACCTCTACGTTGACTGATTGATGATTAGGGATACACCCTAACGCATTGCAGCTATAATCCGTCCTCCTACCCCTCGTTGTTATGTCAAACGCATGTTATATAAAAATAAGATTCAATAAGATGATTTCAAATGCTCATACAATGAATTGTTATGGACTTCGTATTGTAGGTCTTGAATTAAAGTATCGTACCAAACGTTCACGGCAAAATCATACATTATAGGGGAAATGGCTCTAATGTTGGCCTATGGATCTGAGATTGGGCCCATCGCTAAAAATCTGCTATTTATCAATTTTATCTAGATGAACGCGTCATTGGGACGATACTAATGGTTATTTTTGGTCGCTATTGAAAATTTAGTCGATTGCTGAATTTCTGTATGGGCCCAAATTAGGGACACTTAGGCCGACATTACATACATTTCCCCTATATTTAACGTTTTCTGTTCGATAAGGCGAAGATAGCCTGAAGTAGATCTCTACCCTATACAAGTAAATTTAATATGGATGCATGATGAACGCTTGCTTGAAAGGAAATAAACAAAATCACTTTCAATGGTCATGGGAATCAAAAGAGTATTTTAGGGGAAACATGTCAGAAGGGTATAACTCGGAACGTAAGTAATGACTTTGAACGTCGATTTCTCTTGAATGTTCACACACCCACGGAATCTGACTACACCAGCAACATTTCTCTGTCAGATGATTGAGTTAGTTTGAGTGGGTGTATTTTCATTCGTTAGACCCTTCTGACATGTTTCCCCTGATTTCCCTTTTTGGGGATGAGTTGATTCGTACCACTGATTATAGTGGATTCTTCTTCTCTCTCTGTGTAAGTAATATAAGCAAAGCAATGGTTCATACCTGTGCATCGTCAGCCTCCACCTTGGGCTGGTTCTGTTCCTCGGTCTAATTAACTTCACGCTTGCTTAGCGTACGCTTCTCTGCATCTTCGGGCCTCTTGAATGCTTGGCTGTTGTTCTTGTTCCTGTCAGGTTTCTTTTTCCGCAAACCGGCGGTGATTGCGTGGCTGGGCGTTTCTAGTCGTTCCGATAGCCGAGATTTCCGCTCTAGGTGTTCCAACTTTCATTTCGGCATCAAACGTTTCGCTTCTGGTCGCAGATTGCACCACGTATGCCGCATCGTGGCCAAAGGAACGTGCGACTTTTGCAAGTTCACGATTGACCATACCCTTGAGCAGGGCTGGAAAGCACCTCAGAGCGTTAGCAAAGCAACTTTGTGCATGCATCTCACAACACTCGACAAAGAGTGTGTGTGGTTCTCCCATTTACTTCGCACACTCTTTTCCAACTAATCTGCGAAAGAGCGATCCACACATTGAGCGGTACACTCCATGCGGCGCAGGGAGCGAATATAATACAACAAGCGCTAATGTCTTCTTTGAATGCTTTGCAGACTTTGCTTACCACGACTGCATGCATAGGAGATAAGGAAGAGCATAACGAAGAAGAATTTTGTCTTTTTGCTGGGTTTCCCACTTGCAACCCTACACTGAGTGGTGCTCTTTGTATCAGAGTCGTCATAGCGATGGTTACAGATTGAGCTTTCGTTATTTCTCGGTGTGTGTGTCTGTCTTCTCTTCTCCGCTGCTTTACACTTGCGCAGGGTGAAAGACAAGCAAACTTTGTGTTTGCGTGATTCTCTCTTGGTTTATTTCAGAAAATCAGTACATTGCGCACATTGAGTGATCCGATTACAGCCCTACCCTTGAGCAGCTGGGATCTTACGAACCGGGCTTGATCTTCGACACTGTACTTACACAGCTCCACTTTGGACATAAGGCGTGCATGGAAGGCTACTGTTGATTCACCTGGTTCTTGCTTCATATTCGAAAAGTGTTCGTGTTCGGCGGCAGAAGTGTCCGTCATAGATCGGAAGTACCCGGAGATATTGGCGACCATTCTACGGTAGCAATCTTCTTCTTGAAGACTTGGTCGAAGTCCTGCTGCACGAACGATGGACTATAGATCGTCTCCTATTGCGAGGTAGAGCAGCTTAGCTTGTCGGCCAGGCTCCGTGATAGTTTAGCGAGATGGCAATCTCGAACTTTTCAATTAATAATTTTGTTCGACCATTTTCCACAGAGATGGCGCTGTTCCGCTGGTAGAAAGTGATAAAAATCCCCATATAGAAATTGAGAGAAGTGAGAATAATTCGCTTTCGGTGCATATTCAGGTGAGAAAAAGTGAACGACAACCTAAAGAAATTAATCAGAGACTTGGTCGTTCAGTTTTTTTTCTGGAAATTATTGTTAAACAAACTACAATTAATTAAAATGAATTTTTCCCTATACAGTTTTACATGCTTTACTACCAGTTCCCAGAGAGCCAAAAAATTCAAATTTGAGAGAGCAAATTTGCTCTCACGACCTCAATCTCTCAACATGCCATGTATTTTGTTGACACTCGATTTGTGATTTCCCTTTCACAGATTATAAAATAGGGTACCTGTCACTGGTACCTCTATATATGCATTTACTTTAACATTTGAAATCCCTCCTTTTTTACAAATTCTGCGCAAAAGATAATTTATGCCCCGCCTCATACATAAAAACCGGCGGGAAATTCTGTGAGGGATGAGCTATTTTGTGTGCAGAGTGTGTAAAAAAAGAGGGACTTCGA